CTATCTATCTATCTATCTATCTATCTATCTATCTATCTATCTATCTATCTATCTATATATATATATATATATATATATATATAATCAGCTATGCAAGTAAAAATATGACTCTTGGGTATGTTCATATTAAAATCAATAAATAGTCGAACACCAAGAGAATAAAATTATACAAAAGTTAAAAATGTTAAAACTTTTATTTACTAGACCTAGCTTTCGTCAAGAGCTCTTGACATCATCAGGGTGTAAACGGCAGTCGTTGGGAGGGCTTATATGCAGCCTCCAATCATTTGCACCCGGCTCTTGGATCATGTCATAGGTCCCAGCTGTGTGTGTTGTGATCCAAGTGTGTATCCTGCATTGGGGTGTGGTTGTTTCTCACCCCTTCTACGTATGCTGTTACGTGTGTCTTTCTCGCTGGTTCTAAAATTAGCTGGAGTATTTCCCCTTTCCTTGCAGTTAGTGCATGTTTCACTGGTTTCCCGTTTGTGATTCTGTCTGTCACGGGCGGTAGTTGCTGTTTTCTGCTTCCTTCTAGTTCCTCCCCCTCTGAGCCACGTTCCAATCCTTCTGTTCTCTTAGATCGTAGCCCCCATGTGCCATCCCGTCCTGCACCACTCTTCCTCCTATTCCTTTCCATCACTCCCTTGGATCTATCATCACTCTCCTCCCTATACTCTTGGGAGGAGTCGTTCTAGAGTGTGTGCATGTCAGTAAGGCATTGCCTAGCTCGTAACCGGTCAATCCGTTGCTCACTCCATTTGGGGCTTCCGTCCTCATCTTTCATCGGAGAATCCCTCAGGCACGCTCCATTCTGCTGTCCTCCCAAGGGATCAATCACAACGGAGCTATTCCTCTCCCTCCCACAATCCAGCCCAACTAGCGTAACGAGAGTGTCCATTTCACTCCCCGGGGGGTAAACCATTCCCCCCTGCATGTGCGATTGTAGTCCGAGCGCTCTATCGTATGCTGTATTTCCTAGGTCTAGTAAATAAAAGTTTTAACATTTTTAGCTTTTGTATAATTTTATTCTCTTGGTGTTCGACTATTTATTGATTTTAATATATATATATCTTGAATATATATATTCAAGAATATTGGTAAAAATGCGACTCCCAGGCATAATTATGAATAAAAGAATAAAACACGATCACCGGGAGGGTTGAAGTAAGAATACTTTACTGAAAATATACTATACTTATACTAAAAAGTTGCCAAGCTTTCGCTGGGGGAACTCCCCAGCATCGTCAGGGCTAAAAGGCCATTGCAATAAAGGTGGTTTAAGTAGGTTCAAGTAACGTTTGCGCACGGCTCCTAGACCGTGTTACTGGCCCTAATTGGCCAGCTGATAACCAAGATGTGTCTATAACATTATGTTCTTTTCTTCGGATGCCCTTCCCTATCCCTCCACTGTTGGTCTTTGGAGGTGTTAGTAACCTTACATCCCCTCCTCTTCCGATAATACCAACGCCTGCCGTAACGGGGGGAGGATTCAATCTGATGTTTTCTTGTGTCTTATGATGGGGATAGGGTTCCACTAACTGTGGGTTAATACAATTGGGAAGGGATATTAAGAAGTGAATAGAAGTGAAGAAATCCAGAAATGGCCACTTTGGTTCATTTTGATCTTCTAAGCAAGAGAGACAAGAATAAATTGTCTGATTAGATAAAAATTACAAGAGAGACAAAATAGGGATTTTTATGATTCTGGGAAAATGGGACTGTGTGAGATTAGAGCAACAGATACTAAAAGGAGATTTGGAAATTCATCAGTAAGAGAGGGAGGGAGGGAGGGAGGCAGAGGGAGGGAGAGAGGGAGGAAGGAAGGAAGGAAGGAAGGAAGGAAGGAAGGAAGGAAGGAAGGAAGGAAGGAAGGAAGGAAGGAAGGAAGGAAGGAAGGAATTACTGTCTGCAGTCATCTGCCAGGCTCTGTTATAGTCATAAATAGATAAATATATTTTCTAGAATTTCTGGATTTCTGGAACTTGCTAATGACTTAGTAAATTTTCTGTTTCATATATGAGAGTGTCAAGGCCTGCCATATTCCACAAAAGAGCAGCCTAAGGAGTGAGGCATTATGGAAGTCAAAGTTAAAAACAGCAAGAATTACCAGCTTATCTAGTGCTACCTTAGATGAATTTATATTTTCAGGCTGGTGTCTCCTAACATCTCAGTCTGCTTCCAATAATGGGAGCAGCTTAGCAGAAGTGGGATTTTTAACTTACTTTGGGAAGGTGCATTGAAAATCTCATGACACTTGTCAATCCAAAATTCTTTGTGTTCCAATAGCACAGTTATAACCCATACCATTTGATACCACTTTAGAGATACTGCTAAGAAAAAGAAATGTTGATTTACCAAACAGAAAGAAAAAGGAATTGGATCTGTTCCCATTCTAAATCCCAATCACTAAATAGATCTAATCCATCTAAGGAGCTCCCTGTGTCCGGTCTGCCGACATTATTTGGCTGCAGTTTTTCCTCCCTGAGCACAGTTTTTTTCCCTTTTGAGGTTGACACTAATCCTCATTCTGCTATAGTCCTTAAACTAATAAAAGATTAGAATGACATTTCCAAAAGGGCATCACATTAGCAGCAGCTTTCACCATCTCCTCAGATCACATGGTGCAACACACCATTAGTGAACAGGCCATTAATCTTATGGTAATGAAGGGTACAGGAATAATGAGGAGCCTAAATCTTAGTGCCACAGGTAACTTTGTGATATCAGAAACAGCCCCTTGTCACCACAGCATTCTGCAAGCAACAAAAGAGAACAAGCACCCACTCTGATCAGTCACCGTGTGTGTTGTCTGCAACTAATGAGCCGTCTCCTATGCTCTAATTAATGTCATAAAACTGCTTTAACAACTCTGCCTATGGTATAATGTGGAATCAATTAGGATTAGCTGCAAAATAAAGAGTCTGTTTTTGTGGCTTTCCCACCAGGCTATAATCACTAGTGAAAGTAACCAACAAAAACCCTTATGATGGTTAGACATACTTGCTGAGACCTATTGACAGCTCTTTCAGTTCCACTATAGAGTTTGCTGAAGAAAAATGTACTGCCTAATTAGTCAATATACCATCTAGCATAGAAAGCAGCCTCCTGAATTTGATTCTATTCTCTTGCAAACCATGCAGCTCTAAAAGAAACAGATGGCAGTGCCAAACTGAGCTAATTATCCATCCTCCTGATTTTTTGTGTATTAACACTTTTCTCATGGAAGTTGGGGATTCTGTAAGCAGTTTCCTGTTTCTCCCTATTTAAACTGCAATCCTTTTAAATATTACTATGTAGGGCAAGGAGTTCCCTTTTAAAAAGAAGATGTTTGTGTAGGCTTCTCTAGGGCACGGTATATTGCCAGAACGTTGGGTACAGAAAAAGGCCCACCTGATTGGTTTGTTATTTTTCAGTGTCTTCATTGATATTATGGGGTACTTTCAAATAAGATTATTATTCTACAATGTCCTGCTGCATTCGTGAAATGTTATAGGAAGACTCCATTGCCATTTTCTATTCATAGCTTAACAAAGTTGTCTTGCTCTTTTTGACTTTTTTCTTAGCATTTATAAAACTTTGCTAAAGATGGAAAACCAGAATGGCTGCAGAAGGCTTCTGGGTTAGGCACTGCTAGAAACCATTCATCAAAATGTATCCTTTGTGTGGCTGAGAATTTGCCACATACCTGAGTTTCCCATAGCAAACAATTGTAAAACATTGGATATGACATAACAGTTTTATGATTTGCTTTTCATTGCTGATCCCTTCTGTCCTTCCATGACTGCTATATGGTATGTTATATATTTTTACTGTAGAATGAGCCACTCTGTGTTTCTTTAACAGCCACAGATGGTACAGTGTGCATTTAAACCAGCAGAATGGGATATACTTGTTTTACAAAAAACAGAAATGAAACAAACCACACACTAGTCTGAACTGGGCTTTCCCCCATTAACCTATTACAAAGAGGTTGCAGAACACGCATAACTCATTTACATGTGTGTAGGAGAACAATCAATTTGTTTTGGTGAGTAGGAATGACACAAAAAGTGTTTGTAATATTTGATGGCCACCAAGTCTGCTTCAAGAAAATATTTTTAATTGTCCCAAGTAATAGCTTTGATGCTTTTTTTTTTTTAATGCATTCATTCTGGATGTAGCTTGGCTTCCTTGTGAAATCATTTACTACAATTTGCTCTAAAGCCATCTCAGCAGCACACATGCTGTTTATGACAGTAGCAGCAGGCAATCTGGGGAAGGAGCCAGGTGGTGAATTCATGATTTATCAACTGCCTCATGGCCCCAAAGGAAAGACAATTCAGCCACACAATAACCAAAAAACAAGACAATGTGGTACACAATTAAGGTGTCATAACCATATCCAGTTTTTTAAAACGATTGACATGAACGAGTCTATCTACAGGAAATAGATTTGAATTAACTATTTGGTATAATTTCCTATAAGAATTGTCAAGGGAGAGGGGGAGGGTTTGGTTGCCTCATTCTGTTATGTCTTTCTTTACTGGAGGCTGGAAAGCTATTTGTCCAAAGTGCTTTAGCAGATCATGCATCAAGTGGTTAGTTGGGTTAGATGACTTCTGAGATCTTTTCAATTCTTTGATTCTTGGATTCTATGAATTCAACTGAAAACAATTAGTTTCTGAAGCTTTCCTTGAAAACGATGATGAAGAAAGAATCAAAATGTGTCCTCAGAACAAAACTGAGCTTATACAGTAATATGAGATTGGTGAAACAATTAAATGAAGGTCTGTTATTTATTTTTCACTTTGATTACTGAGGATGGTTGGTTGGCTGGCTGGCTGGCTGAGGATTGTTTCTCTTGCTAACACTGCCACTTGTTCTGGAATCCAGTAAAAGCAGATTTCCAAAGCAGAAAACATATACTGTCTAATATGGTATTAACATTATTAATGTAATGCTTAATTATATTGTTAATATAATGCTTTTTGACTAATTCTAAGTCAGTCAGACAGACTTACCTGTATATAGTTATAGGTGGAGCATTCACTGTGTCATAGATAAGTCTCACATGCCCTTGATACAATTCTAAAGCCAGGGGATCATTGTCCCCTTTGTATAATAAGATGCCATTGTCCTTATCAGTTGCTACCTTTGAACAGAAGAAAAAGAAAATAATGATATAAGAGCAGGCAAATATGTACATTCCCTACATTGTAACTACATATTGTTTTTTTAAATGGTTAACTGGCTGGCTCAGGAATTCTGGGAGTTGAAGTCCACGAGTCATAAAAGAGCCAAGGTTGCCTACCCCTGGTCTATGGTATCCCAAAGAAAATACCTTCTGTGTACCATTGAATATTAGGATGTAGGTTACTGTTACCACGATGCACATTATAACTTTCTCCACAGAGTTTTCCTAGTACAAGTGCTCACATTTAATAAATGGAATTCCAACACTTGTTAGTCATGTCAGAAAGATAGTCGGAATACTGGATTGTGGAGTGAGGGTTGTCTCAGATAAATACCCCTCAATTCAGTTTTGAAGAGAGTTATGAGCATATAGAGCTTGACATGTTGAGTGATGCAGCGCAGCAGAGGCTAAGCTGGAAATTCTGACTTTGCTTGTTGTTAACTTTTATGGTTATCTTCTCCACCCCCAAAGCTTGCACACCAGCTAGCAGAGCTGTTTTAAAAGATGTAACTCAGACATAGTTTTCCAACATGTTTCTAGTAACTTTAAAAAAATCCCCAGTGTTACTTAGGAAAGAATTTCTTCCCCAGCTATAAGAGATTTATAGGCAACATAATACTTTTTTAGAAACTTATTAACACATAGACTCCTTATAAAAACAGCCACCTTACTGAAAGAATTTAGAAATTTTATAATTTTTATAGCCTGCCCAAAAAGGAAAGATTAGGTTTGTGTATGTGTGGTGAGTTATATTACATTAAATCTTATAAAAAAATAAGAATAATAATATAACCCTCTCCCAATATAGATTCTCTTTTTGTGAGCTTTAAAGTCAGTCTAGATTCCTGCTGACTGCCTGAGCATGTCCCTGTAATTTTCTTGACAAGATTTCAAAAGTAGCGCTGAGAGAGAGGGGCTGGGCCAATGGCATCCAACTTGAGAGTCTAAGGTGAGTCTAGAATGCACAGTTTTCTGGTTTCCAACCTGACACCATAACCATTACTCCAAACTGGCTCCAAGAAAGTTATTAGTAATATTTAAATAGGGTTGAGAGTTCAGCAAAAATAAGTTATTTTCAGAGATCTCTGACAGTAAATGCCATGAGGATGGAGACACAAAGTGAGAGGGCCACTTGCCATCTCATCCATGTTCCTATAACTTCAGATATACAGTAGGAGGACTTTAAAATGCCTTCTGGAGATGTTACCATAGGATGGGTACATTCAATTTCAGGAAGGTTGTATCTACAGGGCTGAAAGAGACTGAATGTGAATAAGTATTGTGCATATTTTGAAAGTGATTTGGACTTTCCTCTATCCTATTTTTCAGTCTTTTTCTGTGTGATCATAAGCATAGATGCCTCTACTTTAAGGAATCAACACCCTCCCCCCTCTCGTGCAAACTTTGTGTGGCAAAGTCTATACTCACAATGCGGGTAAAGCCAGGATTTATTTTTTGTGGGGACTCTCAAGTGTTAAATCATGAGTTCAAGCATTCTGTTAAATCTCTACCAAACAGAAGGCCACCATTTTGGTCCTTAATAAACCCTAAATTCTTCCCTCCCCCCACAAAAGGACTTTTCTTTTTGTTCTATTTATTCTATCCATTCGGAGGACCACTGGAGGGTAAAAAGATTCTGACATGTTTCACATGATTCTGGGCCACACCTTTTCCCTCCATTTTTTAAGAGTGCAAGTGACTATTTTTTTAATTTTTTTTGTACAACCCACTTACTGGGTTGTATATAGTTACACCCACTTGCTTTTAAAGAAAGGCCTTGAAATTAAAACCAGTACTTCTACCAACAATATATACTAGTTTCAATTATATCTATCCACTATATCAGTGGTTCCCAGCCTTTCCTATACCCCGCACCCCTAGAACGCTTCTGATATATTCTCGCACCCCTTACAAAAGTTCAAAATAACGGCAATGTATTATGTATATACACTATAATTTTGAAAACCCAAGTTTTCGCACCCCCTGGAATATCATCTCACACTCCCAGGGGGTACGAGCTCCCCTGGTTGGGAACCCCTGCTCTATATATTATGGCTGTTTCAAAACAACAAAATAAGTAATAATATATAAATGTTATAAAAATCACATTAAAAAAAGGTTTTCTGAGCTTGTAAGCTGAAAGTTGCTTTTTATTTATCAGCTTTCATTTCCTTAGGAAAGACTTCTGAATCCTGTTTCAAGAGATGCTTACTTAAAACTATTTTTTTTTTTAATATGAGTGGCAATTAACTACCAGATGGAGAAGCAATGTTTTAACTGGGAAATAAGCTTTGAGAACACCATCTGTGTGAAATTCATGTAGTAAACAAGTCTGGCTTTCATATTATCATCCAAAATACATTTTTATCAGAATTCTTTTCTGAAATAAATGTAAAATGTGAGCTATGTAAATTATGCCCTGAGCTCATAACTCATGTGACATATTTTACTCTTTTATACATGCAGAACTAGACAAAAGTATATTAAAAAAAAGTCTTTAAAAAAGCAAAATAAGATCATTTGTCTACTTTCTGTATTTTGGAGAAAAGTCTGTGATGAGACAAAAAATAGATCTCTTACACTATGAGTTGTACAGACTGCATTGTAAAATGAAGCAGATTGATTTAATAAGTTGCTAAAAATATCAGTTGTTACAGGTGATTTATCAATTTTTTCCAGCAAAGTGAAGTCTGTAACTGTCCTTTGATCAAGGACTATATGTGGCTTTGGAGAAGCTGTAATTAGAACAATAAATAACTTAATCTTACGCAATTAATATGGTCATTTCCAACATATTTAATAATGTTATCTTTTGGTTACATTACAAAATACAATCCTGGCATATTTAGGACTGCATGAAACCATAAGGCTTTAGGTTGTGTACATCTTTCTAATTTATTTATTTGTGTTGCACACCAGGGATGAATGTAATGCTTTCATTGACCTTTGCTTAAGCTCTTTGCAGTAGCTGGGTTGAGAAAAGTTTATAATATTATCTGCAAAACCTACTTGAAGCGAGATGTTTGCTTGAGGACGGATTTTGGCTGGTGGAAGCTCGACGTAGGAATCCTTCCCAACAAAATTGACGGTAATGAGTTTCTCACACTTCTGGCCAGCAAAACCTGCCAGGCAACGGCAGACTGGTTCCTGCTGCACAACAATACATTGCGCTCCATTTTGGCATTCATAATAATCACAAGGACTGGTTTGGAGGAGAACCATGGGTGGTGGATTTTCACAGAAGAGTCCACTTGAAAAATAGAAAATGGTCAATGTTAACTTTAGATGCAAAAGCATTAAACAGAAGTTTAATGACAAGTGGTTTATATAAATATCTGTTGCTGTTAGAGGATACTTCAAGTTTACAAATATTGGTCCAAACATTAATATTTCCAATGAATATTTCAATATTTTAGGGGATTCTAAGAACATCTGCATATGGAACAGCTATATCACAATAGACACCACCTGATTTTGAAGAAAATATTTTGTACTAATGAAGAAATGTTCTAGGGAAAAACAATATATTTATTTATTCATTCAATGTCAAGCGCCAGGAAAATCAGAAGGCCTAGACAGGTCAAATGAGTATAAAGATTTATTGCAAACTTAAGCTCTCTGCAATAATTTGAACTATTAACGGTTAAAGCAAATTGGTGGTAGATAAGAGTGAAAAGAATTCAAGGTGGGTCAAACTTAAATCTCTTGTGGAAATGAAGAGACTCATGACTGATGGTACGTTTGAGCCCCTCTGTCGGGCTCAGCCTGGTCATCTCCTACATTCAATTTTTATTGTCATCCACCTCAACCAAGTTGTCAAAGTTCCAGCTGGCGATCCCAATGAAGTAACCACACCTGAGACATTATGATCTCTAATGCAAAATTTTATTGAGCACAGCATACTGGCACTAATGAATGGAAAACCAGCTCTGGCAATATGGCGCCAGAAAGATAGTCAAAAGAGTAAAGTTTCCTTTCCCTTTCTGACACTTCAAGTCACATTGTCCAATTAATCTCTGCTTGCCATAACATCTCTTCTGCGACCTTGCTTCCCAATGGATAGAAACCACTTGTGCATTCCATACATTCCCCTCCCCCCTCAGAACTGTTGGCAAGCTAGAAGTGGCATGGCTGTCCTAGTGCAAGCAATCTTCGTAGCTTAACACAAGTGATTCTGGGTGGCATATAATCATACTGTAGGGATAACAATTCATTTAATATGAAAACAATCCTAAAAATAATAAAAATCATATAAGGGAACATTACATATTAATAATTTCTTCTATATTAAGCATCTTCCAAGTCTCCTGATTTCCTTTTAGTGGAAAACTTTCCATTCAGTTATATATCTTGACCAAACCAGAAAGGACAAAAATTGGTCTTCCAAAATAATGGTTACATTAAACAATACATCAGGAGTATTTGACTGTGAAATATTCAGTTAAGGTAGAGCAGATATATTGTAATTCTTTAAATCAGGCAAATTGCCATTATTCCCACTGTATCTGGAGGGCATCAGGGTGAGCTTTATAAGAAAAAAAAAGGCCAAATTAAATTAATCTTTCAAAATTAAACTATGTATTTCAAAAGGTTTCTTTAAAAATAAGACTGTCTTGAAATAAAGTAAAATAAAACCCTGTGTGGAATGTTTTAATTTTTCAATTAAAGCATACAGTTCTTTCTTATCACTGTTTCTTAAACACGTGCTATGCAGTTACCACACTTGTGTACTTTAGAAATACAACTCATTTTTAATTTGTTTTTTTGTTTTTGTCTTTCCTTTTATTTTTCTTTTATTCTGATCAAAAACTGATCAGACAATGTCAAATGTGAATCTGAGTTTTTTTTCCCAGTGACATCTAGCCTTTTTAAAAATTAGTATTAACCATATATCTTGTGCTGACAATGTTGATATTCAAGAAGAAATGACTACAGCCAGAAATCTGAGGTAGACTAGAAATGTTGCATGGGATGAGAGGTTCTTAATCAGTCAGTGTTGCCATCATTCCAAACCGATTCCCTACATTATATTTTCAAGAGAAAAAAGTTCTAATTTTATCTTTCAAGAAAAGGTATGATATATGTATGCCTCAATTATGTTTGTATGTGTTTTGGAAAAAATTGTCAAGAAGACAGAGAGGTTATAGACTTTAAGCTCTTTCCCCAAACTTATCTTCTGGATCTGTCTTGTCTCTCTCATTAATATCTTTCAAAATATCAGCAATTCAATAACAGCAGCAAAATATACTTTAATGCTTCTGCCTTCATTTTGAATTAGCTGCCATTTGCCTATTATTGAATTGGCAGAAAAGTTAAAACAATATAAAACTTGCTGCTACCATAGCTTTCCCCTCTCCTGCCTCAATTTTCTTTGTTCCAAGTCGCCATCAAATAGTGTTTCCTAATTATTGGATCCATTTAGTTCAATGAAAATTCCTGGGAATAAAAGTGTTATTAGAAGATGGCACACCACTTTGAAGCATTCCAGTTTCCTCTTTATAAAATGTGGGTAAATGCAGGTCTGGCAGGAAACTTGGAGGAATTAAAGGAATCTCTGCAGACAAAGGGATGTGTGCTAAGTGCCACACATAGAATATGGATGTTCAACTATGATTCACAAAGTAAAATGGCTGAGGTCATTCAAGATTATATGGGAAAAAATGACACTCTAGGATAAATGTGACGATGCATTTCTAGAACAGTGGTCCCCACCCTTTCCAGCTCTGTGGACCAGCAGCAGCAGTGGCGGTAGTGGCAGAGGAGGGAGAGGGCATGTTTTTGCACATGCACCTGCCGCTTGAGCAAATGGAACTTTGCATGCGTGTTCACCTGCCGCTTGCATGTCTCGGTTCTCAGTGGGTTGGGGACCTCTGTTCTAGAGTAGATTTTAGAATAATATTTACACTGTTTCATTCTTTTTTGCCTTAATTGCTTTTCCAAGTAGTTTTCTAGTCACTGGTAGGCCAGTGATGGACACTACAATAAAAATACACTATTGCTAGATGTAATATTTGCAAAGAACTACTGTGTTCATTTATGAACAAGTTACCTGATTGTTTTTTTTTGTAAATTAATATTCTGAGCTCATCCAGTTTTCAAATCCTCCATATGGAGCACATTAATCAGGCAATGATAAAGTTGAGAAGGACATTTATTTTTCCCCCTCCTTTTGTAGAGAAATCCATCAATATCACATGGCCTATGTTTTTTTACTAAGTTGTTAAACAAAAACTTTCCAAAACTAGCCAATCAATTGAGGAAGCATATCATTACAGGTAGTCCTCAATTTACATCAGTCAATTAGCAACTGTTCAAAGTTATGACAGATTTATCATAACATGAGACTCAGTACTTCTGAATCAGATTCAAAGTTCTGATGGCCATTTGGGGAACATGGCAACCAGCCCACATTTAGAGTTGTTTGCAATGTCCCATGGTCATGTGATCATGATTTATGGTTTTTTTTATGGGAAACTGTATTTACTTTTGGTTTTGGGGAAAAAACATCCATGCAGACAATAGGTTTGCTTAATGACTCTGCATTCGCTTAATGGCCATGGATTTTCTTAACAACTGCTGCAAAAAATGTCATAAAATTGGGTCAGTTATTGATCCACTTAACGATCAGCACAACTTACAACCATAATTCCAGGCTCAATTATTGTCTAATTATGTAATTTGGAACCATTACAAGTTGAGAATGATTAACGCAATGAAAGTCACACCATTTCATTTGAAAGATACAAAGCGTATGTGTTTGCCAGTGAGGCATTTCATTGTGAAAAGAAAATAGGAGTATAAACCAACTGTCAGCAACTGGGAGAAAGCAGTGTAGTAATCTATTTATGATGCAACAGTATCATGGATAATTATGGCCAGGTCTGAGTAGCACAGATTTTATCAGCCTATTATATATAATAGTGTCTCCATACTATATTATGAAACTGCACCATTGCTAATGCTAATATGCAAAACATAATCAGAACTACCAAGTTTCAAAGCTGAGGGCTTTAATCTGAAACCAGGTCCATTGCAAACATAAACCAAATGAACAAAAGAACCCATACATTCTGTATTAAAATTCAGTCCTATTAATAGTATAGGCAAAGGTAGTTAGAGACAACCTTGAATAAATCCCAAGAACCTCAATAGCAATTCTAGCATGTTCAATGCTCTCAAAGATTTATATATCATTTTCTTCAAAGCCTGTGTAAAATCAAAATTCAAAACTATTTTTCAACATTTCTTACCTTGTGCAACTCAGCTATCTTCTCTCATATGAAACACAGTTTAACGTTTTTTGAAATGCATTAGCATATTTCTTCATCTATCTCAAGTTTGTCTACCTGCATTGCATAGACCTGCTCCAAAAGCTGCCTGAGACAGTTACTGCATGGAGTCCCAACATAAAGTATAACTAATGCTAACTGAAGCCTATCTCTGCCCATGTTTTGGAAAGTCTGTTTTTCAAAGCTTTGTTACTGCCAATTTTTGATTCAGTCAGATTCTTTGAGTGGATACAATTTACAGTTCTCAGTAGGAGAACGCCTATAGCATGTAGCAAGACAGCAGGTTGCATTTACTCTACTGATCAAGCATTAGCTGCATAAAGTCAATCTATAAAGAATGTTCTGAAAAGCCAGGGCAATCTGACTCTGATTCCAAAGCTTAATACCAATCATGAAAATGATTTTTTAGCAGTAACCTAGCGGGTAGGGAAAACTTCTCCAACTTGATGACTTCTAGATATCTTGGACTTTTAACTTCTCCAATCATGGGAAATCATCAAGTTGGGAAAATTTAAGAAAGTGAAATGCTAGAAGATTCTTCTTCCCAGCTTTGTATAGCTTGTTATATCTGCTGGAATTTGTCGTGGTCAACATAGACCAATCACCTAGTTTCTTGTTAGCTAATAGAGTCAATTGCATAAGGAGTATACAGGAAGCAAACAGGTGGCAAAGGTCAGGTTTAAACTATCTATACCAGACATGTCAAACTCACGACGTCACGTGACGTTGCGCAAGGTATTGGGAGAGTTTTGCCATTGCCGGCAATGGGGTGGGCGCAGCTTCCGCATGACATGTCCGGCCCACGGGCCGGCAGTTTGACACCCCTGATCTATACTCTGTTTATTTTGTTTTTAATATGCCATTGAAAATACTTGACTTTAAATCTTATTACATTTTGTCAGTGCTTTTTTTGTAAAAAAAAAAAAAAAAAAAGTTGCCGGAACTAACACATGTCATACAA